CAAGCAAACTCTTCTCATCATATTCGAACAACCTGAACACCTTCTGCAGTCACATCATACTCGTTATATAGCCATCCAACCACTCATAGAGCCACTAATTCCACTAATAGGGATACCACTGGAGTTATAAGTCCAAAAGCACGTCCTCATACAACCGAAATCTCCGTGCTCAAGCTACAGTCAAAACCTGGCCTTAAGTCTTCCAGAATGGCCTATCACCACCACACCGAAATCACATCACGCACCTCATCCATGGAATCACAAGCCGGCGATGCACAGTTGATACTGAGCGCTCATATGCGCATACGAATGCATGGAAGGAATTCAAAGATTACGCTTTAAGCTGAATCAATGTCGCATGATAAGGAAAGAAAGATGGGAAGTATATCCTAAATGTCTTGTAGCCTCTCGAAGATATGTATGGACATCATCATATCGATCTGTAAGACTCTACTAGATACTTGCTCATGACTTATACAACCTATGAGCCTAGAGCTCCGATACCAACTTGTCACGACCCAAATCCAACTAGTCGTGATGGTACCTAACCCAACCCGCTAGGTAAGCCAATTGACAAAAAACCAATTCCAATGAAATTTAATGAGACAAATAAATAAATAAAATCCGAATCTTATACATTTTCCAAGGACTGGTAGTACAAATCATGAGCTTCAAAGATTTGGAATTTACAAAGCTGGTATAAAATAAATAAGTCATCTGTTCAAAATGCACACAACAAATTTTTATAAATCTAAGGCTACCATGAACGAGAGGCAGCTACAACCGGAACGCATGTACATATTGAAATCCAGCTCCCGTCGATCACAGCAACGTCAGAAGCCAACATCTGCAAGCAAGGTGCAAAAGTGTAGTATGAGCAAAATCGATCCCATGTACTCAATAAGTAACAAACCTAACCTTAGGTTGAAAGTAGTGATGAGCTGGGACAAGGTTCAGAGTCCAACTCCAATAACCAGCAATAGTCCATAACAATACAATAAAAGGGTACATGAAAATAACTTAGAGGTAAGATGCTCAACTCGTTCACAGTTACGGAAAAATAGACATGCTTTCCAAGTATAACAGTAAATCCTAGACCTTTCGCCTAAAACCCCAAAGCATACGAGTAAGTTTGAAAACTGTGATTTGTCAAAAAAAAACCTTCGACAACAAATAAGATGTTTTATTTTCAGATAGCATGAGGAAAGTTATCTCTATGCCTACATGTCAAGATACAGGTAAAATCATGAATGTCACCAAAACTATGTAGTAGAAGGAAATGCATCTCTATGCATGTATCTCAAGTACGCATGTCAAATGCAATGGATCTCAGTAATGAACTCATGTACTCCCACTCTCAGAGTACTCAATCTCTCTGTCTTGCATTCTCTCTCACCATGCTCAATACTCAGCACACTCAATCACTCAGCACTGTACAATACCTGCTGTGGTGCGTAGCCCGATCCACATATAGCCATAAGGTCCGTTGCAGCGTCCAATCACATATAGAAATAAGGCCCGTTACAGTGTGTAACCTGATCCACATATATATAGCCATAAGGCTCGTTGCGGCGTACAAACCGATCCACACACACGCACACACACACACACACACACATATATATATATATATATATATATCAACTTCGCTCACTGGAGGTGTGTACAGACTCCAGAGGGGCTCCTTCAGCCCAAGCGCTATAATCCGCACGGACAACTCACGTGTTGAAATATCAATATCCTCACAATCAGGCCCTCGGCCTCACTCAGTCATCAATCTCTCCAGTCTCTCGGGCTCACAATGCCATGAAACTAGCCCAAAATGATGATATGATGTGTCAATGAATAACAACAGAGAGTGAGATATGATATGAAGTGAATGAACATGACTGAGTATGAAATTGCAACTTAAACAAATAATTCAAAAGCAATATGACCTCAGTGGGTCCCAACAGAATAAGCACGTAGCCTAGACATGGTTTCTAACATGGATCACAGCTCAATAGCTCTAGTACATAGAGATTTCATAGTTACAGATAAGATCAAGTAACTACACAGTACCACAAGGATACAGAGTCACAATTCACGCGGTGCACGCCCACACGCCCGTCACCTAGCATATGTTTCACCTCAACACCAAACACATAACACGTAAAACAGGGTTTCATACCCTCAGCACCAAGCTTAGAAGTGTTACTTACCTCGAATAATCCAAAAACCAATACCGAGCAGGCCAAACGACGCTCCAAAATGCCATCCCGCGCGTACCGACCTCCGAACGGCTCGAAACTAGCCAAAAGCAACTCAAATACATCAAATGAAGCCCAAGGAAATAATTTTAAATGATAAAGGTCGAATCCTTAATCAAAAGCCCAAAATCGGCCAAAAAGTCAAAACCTGGGCTCGCGCTTCGGAATCTTACAAAACTCACAAAATCTGACAATCCATTCAATTACGAGTCCAACCATACTAGTTTCACTCAAAGCCGACTCCAAATCGATGTTCAAAACTCAAAAATTCGTATTATGAAACTTTAGGCAAAAACCCCCCACTTTCCTCTTTAAAATTCACAATCCAATTACCAAAAATAAAGATAGATTCACGAAATATAACCAAAATCGAGTAGAGAACACTTATCCCAATTTATATAGTGAAAATCGCCTCAAAAATTACCCAAATCCGAGCTCCCCAACTCAAAATAGGCCTAAATGAACAAACCCTTGGTATATTTTTGTCAAGCTGTTCTAACTCGTTTCATGTGCCAAACATTTCTGAAACTTGCTTATGATGCCTTCGATGGATTCCTTGTGAAATTTCAGTGAAGATAGGCTTTTGAATCACCCAATTTGGCCTTAAAATGAGGGAAATATGATGTTTTGAAGTTTTAAATAAATGAAGTCTTGAAATTTAATGGATAAAAAATGACGTTTTCGTAATTTTTACACTAGAAAATCAGCAACGAATTTTTTTTGTTTTAGCACCCAAAACTCATTTGGAACCTCCGGGACACAAACCACTTATGCGTTTCAATCATAAAACACGCTTCGAACCTGCTCGCGCACTCAAAACACCAAAAAGAGGTCATCTTGACCCGATATTGACCATGGTCAAACTCCAAATCCTTAACGTAACTAGTTTCTCAACCAATGATCCAAAACACACCAGAGCCCCTCGGGACCCCATTCAATCATATCAAAAGTCTTAAAACATGACACGAACTTATTCGAAGCTTCAAATCACATCAGACAACATAAAAATGACGAATCGCACCTCAAATTAAGAATCAATGAACTTTGAACTTTTAACTTTCAAAACTCGACCGAAACATACCAAATCAATCCGGAATGAACCCAAATTTTGTAAGTAAGTCCCGAATGAAATAACGAAGCTATTCCAATTCCCGAAACCACAATCCGAATTCGATATCCTCAAAGTTAACTCTCGGTCAAACTTATAAACTTTCCAAACCTTCATATTTCTAACGTTTGCCAATTTGTGCCGAAACCTTCTAGAAAAATCCAAATGCAAATCTGGGCATACACTCGAGTCCAAAATCACCATCTTGACCTAATGGAACCATCAAAACTCCGTTCCGAGGTCAAATTCACAAAAGTCAAACTTGGTCAACTCTTCTAACTTAAAGCTTCCTAGTTGAGAATTGTTCTTCCAAATCAATTCCGAATAACCTGAAAATCAAAACCGATGATTCACACAAGTCATAATACATCATACAAATCTATTCATGCCTTCAAACTATCGAGCGAAGTGCAAATGCTCAAAACGACCGGTCGGGTCGTTACAATGGACTAATTCAATACAAGTGATCAATAACGTTAAATAAGTGAATTGAAGATAGAACAAATAACCAAACCAGTTGTGATGTTAGGTCCGAGCTCGGGTCTGAGCTTAGTGATTGTTCTGCCCTCGATTCGAAGCCAAATACTTATGAAGAACTTTGAATGACTTTTAGAAGCTGAGAAAACAAATGCATATTGCCTTGATATGCGTGTTACAGTGTCTCTATTGAACAATAAACTTCCGCTTTATATAGTAGAAGAATTTTACTCTAAGTACAATTCTAAGAAAGGTAAAAATCTTCTTTTTTGTTAATCACTTATTCCCTGTCAATACGGGCCGAGATCCACGCCGTGATATCCGGTTGGGCGCGGATGTGACGGCCCTTCGTTAGTCGTGTACAACTGTTTGGTTATGCCTTCCGAGGTCTTGGAGCCCGAACCGGATTCGGGGGGACGTTGTCTCGTTGGCCCCAGTGGTAAGCGCTTCGTTCGGGCCTTAGCACGAGAGGTTCCTTGCTTCTATCCCGATTCTGTGTAGTTATGTCCTTGCTTCGTTTGCCCCACCGGAAAATCGGGGTGCTCACTAGCCCCAGTTTTACCCGTATATAAACATAAAGAAATTTAAAATACTAATTACATCTAAACTAGTGTGGAATTGAGACAGTTGATTGTCGATTGATTGGTTAAAATACTACTCACAAGATCGAGATTATGTTGCTTGTTACTGTACATAAACTCACATTGGAGTATATATGTTTAATTACAAACTCCAAACTGAAAAATTGACAAAATAAATATATTCTATTTAGTGTTCAGATCTAATTAAGAGACTTCTCCTCGTGTTGCCTCCTTTCTCCTTTTTTTACTCATGGATCCATCTCACATCCAAAATTAAAAGAAAAACGAAACCACTATAGCTAGTCCGGTGCCACTCTAAATCAATAAAGCCAATATCAAGTATACTTTAAATAGGAACATGCATATTTAATTTTTCTGGGTGTAGTTTAGCTGGGAATACAAATAGAGACAACATCAGTGAGTTTATTACTCAATTAGCTCAACCCTGAATAAATATAATCAAAAATCCAACTGGCATTACTTACTGAAAAAAGTTTTTTCGATTTTTAATAAAAATTTTACATTTATTTTTCCTGTGAGAGATACCCTTGGTCTCCCATCTCCATGCCCTTTGGTCCTCAATTAACTGCAATTGCACGCAATATTTGGTATACAAAACAAATAAACAAACAAGGACCAACGTGGGTGTTGGACTTTTCTAGACTACAATTATTACTTCATTTCTCAGAGTCAGTGATCATCCCAGATCTACTCTCTATTTCTCCACTTCTTCTTCTTCTGTTGTGAAGATTGAGATCAGATAATTAGTGATTAACAATGTCAAGTACTCATCATGCTAAAACAGATTCAGAAGTGACGAGCTTGGCACCATCATCGCCAAATCGGCCCGTTTACTACGTGCAAAGCCCATCAAGAGACTCTCATGATGGAGAAAAGACGACCAATTCCTTCCACTCAACTCCCATACTTAGCCCAATGGGCTCACCGGGCCGGCAATCCCGGGATTCATCATCTACCAGGTATTCCGGCTCACTCAAACCAAGTACACAGAAGTCAAGTACTAATGGGTCCAGAAGCAGCAGCAGCAGACACCACCAACACCGTCATAGGAAGGGAGAGAAGCAGCAGTGGAAAGAGTTTGATGCTATAGAAGAAGAGGGATTACTTGACGACGATGGCTATCGCAAAGGTCTCCCTCGCCGCTGTTATTTCCTGGCTTTTGTTGTTGGCTTCTTTGTGCTCTTCACTTTCTTTTCCTTGATCTTGTGGGGTGCCAGCAGAAATCAGAAACCTGTCGTCACCATGAGGGTAATCTAATTTCCTTACTATATGCCAAGCAGATCCGTTTTTTGTTAGTTCTAAAAAATATTTGATTATTTTAGTTTTAAAGTTAATTATGGTTAAATCTTTAAGATATACTCTGATTGATAACCTAGTAAATATGGTAACTATCCTTAAAGTACATTTTAGAAAAAATCTTTACACTATCTATGGATATAACTTAAATTCCTTGGTTTTTTATCCTCATTCACGAATGCTTAAAAACTGAGATTTAACAGTACTGTACATTTGCCTTCACTAATCTTCTGGATGAATAACAAGAAATGAATCTTAAGATCTGTCATATATATATATATATATATATATATATATATATATATATATATATATATATATATATATATATATATATATATATAGGCGGTTTTAGGATTTCTAGTACATGGGTGCACTATTAAAAACGAGGAAAAATGTATNGGGTGCACTATTAAAAAAAGAGAAAAAATTTATCAAGTAGGAATTGATCCTTATTCTTCTTGATGATTAACTCAGCCTTCAACGAAGTGCACCATTCAATTTTCTTGGAGCATGGGTGCCAACGCTTAATATTATAACCAATTTTAGAAAATATGTACATAAAATATCTAATTTTGCGGAGAGACACGTGCCCTATATTTTTGCCTACAAAACCCACCCCTATATATATATATATATATATATCCTCCTTTGGGCTGGAAGAGAAGATTTATGCAGTCCATAGAAAAATAAAAAGAATAAAGTATTCTGAAGCCAAATGCTCTTGGATGGGTAGTTGAATAGGGGGATAAATCCTTTTTTCTCCTTTATATTGAATGTAGTCAATCACTTTGAGGTCATGAGAACAAAGAGTCAAATCGCTCGCAATGGCCACCCTGATAGTTGAACCGGACAGAGCCGCTTGGCCGCTACTTACACATCTGGAGTTCCGGATTGAACTAGGGAACGGAATTCAAGGGCAACGAAGGCCCTTAGATAGGACTTCATCTATGAATAGAAGAGATTTTCTTTCTAGTAGAGCTCATTACGACCATAAAAAAGACTCCATCGTAATAAAGTGGGTTTGGCTGCTAATAACTAAGGAGGTCATCCGCTCACCAATTAGGTTGTGTTGAGCATGAATTCTGTGTGTCGCCTACATAGGGTAGAAAAGAATGCTTTGCATAAACATCTCAATGTCCAAGATAAAAGGAACGAGGGGAAGAATCGACGAGGCGAGTGTTCTCGAAGAGAAAATCGTGATGGAAAAAGCGTGAGGAGAATTCTAAACTCGAGATATGCTGAAAGTAATAGCCTTATGTTATGGCCGCCCCCCGACTTACGGCCTTTACGCTACTACTATTGTGATGTGAGCGGTTCAAATTGGTTGAATCTTTCTTCGAATCAAAGATTTTTGAAGTTCGTAAGTAGCCCGCTCTTCCTTATCCTTGCTAACTAGAAATGAACCTTCACGTATATATATATATATATATATATATATATATATATATATATATATATATATATATATATATATATATATATATGCACTCACCTTAGAAGATTATCTTTGTACGTTGAGCTCATGCTAAGGTCTAAGAATTTTACTACTGTATTACTTAGGCTCCAAATATGTCTCTAGAGCGATAGCCGGAATACTTGTTAAATTGCGTGATTTAATCTGCAGAGTATTTCCTTCAATGAGTTTGGGATTCAAGCCGGTATGGATTCGTCGGGAGTTGCAACGGAGATGGTATCAATGAACTCCACAGTGAAGATGAGATTTCGTAATACAGGCACATTTTTTGGGGTGCATGTAACGTCTACTCCTCTGGTTCTTTCCTTTTCACAGCTCACCGTAGCTACTGGAAGTGTAAGTAGTCATTTTCCTTTTATTAACATTATTACTACTTTTCAGTTCATGTATCTTAACTTAACTTATATACATTGTTAGTGCACATAATTTTATGATATCGGTATTATTTTACTTATTACTATTGAAAGTGTTACATGGTTATCCATTACACTGTGTATTACTTTTTCCCTATCAATTTAGATGACATACTTTCTTTATTAGTCAATTCCAAAAAGAGTGATACATTTATATTTTTGGAAATAATTTAGCTTTAAACTTTTTATTTTACCCACTTTACCCTTAGTAAAGCTTTTAGGACCATATATTTTAAAAGTCTTCTTTTTTTCCCCTTAAACTTTGTGACAATCATCTAAATTGAAACGGGTTAAACTTTTCAAATTAAGATTAATTATATGTTGTCGTACGTGGTCTAAGAGCAGGTAAAGAAGTTTTACCAACGAAGAAAAAGTCAGAGAACTGTAGCGGTGACTTTGATAGGAAGTAAAATTCCATTGTATGGAGGAGGAGCCGACTTGATAAGCAAGGAGGGGAAACCAGTAGCAGCAGTGTCACTGGTCCTAGATTTCAAGGTTCGAGCCAGGGCTTATGTTTTGGGAAGAGTGGTGAAGCCCAAGTTCTACAATACGGTTCAATGCTCCGTTGTTATGGACCCTAAGAAAATGAATGTTCCCATTTCCTTACAAAAATCTTGTACTTACATTTAGAACTAGGAAATAGACCCAATGAACACGGGGGAGTGTCTAAAACCAAAAAAAAGAAACAAACAAGGAGGGGGAAAGGCGACGTACGTTTGTCTTTATTATTAGAAAATAACTTCAGAATATAGGTTGAAGTAAAGACCAGCTGGCGGTGCTTCGTTGAAGGTCCAAGTTTTGTTATTTTTCAAATGTTAATTTTATAGAGGAAAAGAGGTATGGCTGTCAGGTTTGTCGCGGAAGGGGAGTAACAGTCTAGCCTGTGATGTTGAGTGAATTAAATGCCATTTGATGAAAAATATAAGCCCTAGAAACTAATGTATTTATATTTATATTTTCCAAGTTTTGGTTCTTTGATGAGTACTATATTACTGTACTAGAAAATTTTGTGATTTAAATTCCATCGTACGTCTAGCCAATATTTTATTCCATATGCATGGTGCCTGCTATTCTCAACACGTGTCATCAGTTTAATTAATTGGGGAACTCTTATTGTCTGGTTTGTAAATAATGTATACCAGTATAATATATAAGTTTCTCGATCTACATAGAGGAAGTGTGATAAATCTATTTTGAAAAGGCGCCTCGTTGGGTAATTAAGACTGTAAGAGGAACAAAGCTTCCAAGTTAACCGAACTCCCTTATTTCTTTTTTCTATAGAGAAGGTTCTAAAGATAGTCTTGAACTTATAAGTTCCATAAAATATTCACCCAAAATAACTATTGTATACGTAGTTTTTATTTCAACTCTCGAAATCGTGGCACTTCAACTCATTCCATTCACACAAAAAGATATTAATAAAACTATATATATGAAATAGCCTCATATCATCTGTCCTTTATTTTGTAAATAAATTAAATATTAACATCGAAAAATTCTAATACATATTCTTCAATTTATAAAACTTCTACTTATATGATATACTTCTTCTACTATATATTCTGAAACATCCCAAATGCTTTTATCTGGGAGAGGGTGTATCTCTTTTGTCTTGAGAATGTTCTTCCTCGTGTAATAATCACAACAGTAGTTTTCATAAGACTTGTTTTTGTGCTTCAAAGCTGTCAAAGCATGTGAACAAGGGCAATTCATCTAACTGAAATCGTCCGCAACTACTTTTTTTAAGACAAGCAATGAAGCATTTGACACTATCTATCACTATACGTATATAATCTGTTGAAGTCCTCACCTACAATTTTAATACAATACCGACAATTATCCACAATTAGTAAAAAAATAAAATAACTGACAATTAGTAAAAAATAAAATAACTACAATTAAACAACAACATCTATACAAATATCAATACTTACTTGGTTTGATAATAAAAATCATCTTTTGGGATGCACAATAACTTACTCTCACATTTGGGGACAAAGTCATGTTGTCCTGCAGCCATTGTGGTATTTTTTTTCAAGCAAGGTGAACGTCCCCTCTGCATTCAATAATTTTTTGTTAATCCATCGTTCAATAAATGCCCGCATGTACTCTAATAGCTGAACTACTGGGAGCTCTCTTGCATCTTTACTTACTGTATTCAAGGATTCTGTAATATTTGATGTCATCGTCCATATTCTATTCACTTTCGTATGTACCCGTGATCATTTATGATAACCAATATCGTAAAGATATTCTTTTACCAGTGTGTCGATCTCTTCAATCTTAGTCATGCGTTCATTAAACTCATCAAAGGTGTATGATCTTGCTATGGCGAAGTACAATTCACTTAACTTAAGATGACCTTTCTTGAATTTTGACCTTATATTTGTCCAAATATACCACATGCATACATAATGTGGGATGCTAGTAAAAATAGTGGATGTTGCCTTCTTATATACTCTCATTTATGTACGAAATAACATACATATTTGGTTTTTCACCATATGCATGTTTGAGCTGCTCAAAAAACCATGTCCATGATATGTCATTTTATTAATCAAGTATAGCGTAAGCAAGTGGTAATATGCTACATGTCATATAGCATAAAATCAATAAATACAATTCAAAAACAACTTGACTAAAAAACATATAATTAATATACATATCTTAATCAACATATTAACTGAGAGTAAAATTTACCTGTTGTATCCATTGTGCTAGTTGTTTGCGTGGTTCCTCTATACGCTAAATTTAGGAAGCTGCCATCCACTGCTACAATTAGTCTACAATATTCCCAACCCCGTAAAATTCCATTGACATCGAAATCAACGTATCTTCCGAAGCTATCCCAGCGACCACTGTGTTGAAGCATTATCCCAAGTGTTGCCATTGAAATTCACTTGTTGAAGCACTAATTTTTATCGTGAAACTGTATAAAATTCTGGTATACCTTCGAAGCTGATTAATTTCACTTCCACATTAATCTTCGGCCGATGTTTTCTATAAGAATTTTGTTTGAAATTTGTTGAGTTCTGTAAAAGCAAAATAAATCATCGGTAGAGATGAAGATTACAGAAAACTCGGCATCAATTGTGTTTTATATTGTTTGTAGATTGTAGCGTATCTTTTTTTATTTTGTAGTTGAAGATACTTTTGTTGCTTGAATCATGCCTTTAAAATAAGAAACCCACAGCTGGAAGGACGCAAGTTTAAGAGACTGTATATAAATTGTATGAAAACTACAGTTAGGGCGCATAATATGTAAATTTAGGACAATATTGATAAATAAGTTTGAAATATTGTATAGGAATGAAAAAATTCTATTTTGAGAATAACTTGGGCTTGAAAATGGAGCATATCGTCATTCTTGTCCAATTAATGGTCCAATTTCGATTTGTGATGCTACGGCCCCAGGCCCCCAGCTCTACATCTAATAGACTCCTATTTAGAAGTTGGAGGTGAAATTCAAAAATAGCCAGATTTACAACTGGTCGTTCAAAAATAGCCCAGTTTCAAAAGTAATCGAAATTTAGTCATTTTTCATGTAAAGATAAATCTGAGCGAAAACACTGTTCAAACCCGGAAAAATATGCCAGTATATTATGTTGGAGTTCCAGCATAAGTATACTTGAACTCCAGCATATTATACTGGAGTTCCAGGATAAGTATGCTGGAACTACAGCATAATATGATGGAGTTCCATCATAAGTACACTAGAACTCCAGCATAATATACTGGAGTTCCAGCAAGTATACCGGTCCAGCATAATATACTGGAGCCAGCAAAGTATACCGGTGCAGCATAATATGCTGGAGTTCATACATAGGTGCACCGAACTCCAGTATATTATGTTAGACCGGTCTCTGTTGCAGCAAAATAGAATTGACTTGGTAAATGCTGGCTATTTTTGAATGACCAGTCCGAAAACTGGCTATACCGTGCTATTTTGACAATACGCACTGGTCATCGAGCGTGGCCCATATTACACAATCCAAAATGATGGGCCACTCTTAACATCCATGGGAGCAAGAGGAGGCAACGGTCCATGGGCTTAAAATATCAAGAACGCCTGTCATAAGTGACCCGTTCCAGTAAGAATCAGAATGGTGCTTGAGGAATATACCTTGGTCCATGTTCTTAAAGATTGTGAGTTGACTATTAAAATCAAAATAATGATAGCAAGTTATCTTATTATTGTAGGACGTAGGCTATCTAGGCTTTGAAAATGGGAGTGATAATAAATACTCCTATAAAAGTAATCGCACGTGAAGATGCTTGAGGCGGTACTACTTGCAAAAGTTACTAGTCCAATTCAACATCATTAAATTTCAAGTTAGGCGCCTTTAATTTACTAGATAAAGTCAGACTAAGCTATAAACAATTGGAATTATATTGCTAAAAAATTAATCCTGACATCCTGCAATTTGCAAATACTTAGGAAGTTGCAAAGACGGAGCAACTTGCAATGTGCATCATCTGTAGATGGAGAATTCATTCTAAGATCAGTTTTGCACCTAACTATGTATTCCTTTCTTCAAAACTGATTGCGCAAGTGGAACTTTCTTTATTCAGGGGTTAAAAGAAGAATATCCATTATCCTATCTCACGTCACATTTCTTGCTTCTTGCAATTGCATGCAAATTCAAGATTTTTATTTTATGGGTTCGAATTTGAAATTTTATCATATCCCGTTTAATTATTGAGTTCGGTTATAATTTGTATGGTCATAGAGGCGGATCCAGTGCCTAGTTACACTTTAGTTTAGACCCTATATATATATATATATATATATATATATATATATAGGGTCTAAACTAAAGTGTAACTAGGCACTGGATCCGCCTCTATGACCATACTTTGATGATCGCGATTCGTAGGGTGTCGAATTTTTTCAATATTTTTGTAGGCTGGGTTGGCATAGAAGATAAGAGAAAGAAAGGGTCTAGTGCGTATTGTATTTTAAACAAAGAATGCATCGTAATAATTCTATCATTGAGTGACCATACTTTGCTCTTGCGTATTATGCCTTGACGCAAGGTACTAACCATTCTATATATCAGAGTTATCACTTAGTACTCTTGCTGAGTGTCGATTGAATATCAATTTTTACCTAATTTGATCATGCATATCCAGTGCAGCTGAGTTTTGTATTCATGTAATTTTGAATACATGACCTGTTAAGAAGTTAAAAGAAATCTAGTACTAGTATGTTTTAGCTTTATACTCCTTTCCCCTAAAAAAATTATAAAGAAAAGGGAAAAGAAAAAAAAAAGATAGGCTGGATAGGAAGGTTCTGGTCACGAAGTTATTTTCATGATTCAAAGAAACTGCAACTTCTGCCGAAAGGTTTTTATCCATTTATTAGCTGATGAAGCACTTTATATTGATTTTCGGCTACTGAGCCAATGATTTAATTGGAGAAGCTGCAACTTGCCATAGATAAACTGAATGATTGAGTATGATATAGGTGATAGATTGTTGGCCCAAAATATCTGGGCGGAAAGAAACTGCAGCACATCCTATCCAAAGCACAAGTATTGCATCCGCTGCCTTTTGCAGTTGTCGTTTTTCCAAGTAACCAAGTTGTTTCATAACTTGTCTTTGTTAATGATATCCTAATTTCAACTTTTGTATGTACAATGAACTTGTTTTCTATGTACGAAAAAAATAATAATAAAGAAGTAAGAAATAAATTGACCTGCCTAACCAATAAGGTGAAAGGGAAAAAAAATCAGAGCTGATAACAAAAAAATCTTCAGTACTCTGGTTTTTTCTATCACTTAAATTTAAAATAATTTGAGATAGACATCACCGAACGCAGACCCAGCCATCATCAGTGGACCACTCAGATTCAGGTCCTTCATTGATTAACTCCCGCAGCCTCTCCGCCGGCTTTGTTGACCATGACCCGCCGCAAAACTTCAGCAATTCTTGAATTGCCGGCGAGGGCAGAGATGTAATTGAACATGTAATGGCTGATGCAGCAGAAGCATTAGAGACCCAATCTGGGAAATCAAATGGGCACCTAGGAGACGTCGAAGGACTGCCACTCCCGCATGTTTCGTCATTCAAGGTAACAGTGACATCATCATAATCTTGATCAGCAACAAAGGGATGGTTCAGAAGCATCTCAGCCGTCCATCTCTTTCTTGGGTCCTTCAAAAAGCATTTTCCTAGAAAATCTTTTCCCTCCTCGGATAATTTCGCGGGAAATTCAGGCAATTGATCACCAATTCCAATTGCCATCAATAGTTGGGTTATATTTGAGTATTTCCAAACTGGAACTCCTGCTGCCATCTCTGCCACAACACACCCAAGTGCCCAGATATCGGCGGGAGAGTCTTGTTCGCCGCCGGTAACCATTTCCGGCGACATGTACAATGGAGTGCCCCTCAATTCACATCGCAATTTGTCATTTTTCTTGTGTTCGGCTCTCTTTGCCAATCCAAAATCAGCAATTTTGACTTGACCATTTTCGCCTAAAAGAATGTTCTGATGTTTAATATCACAGTGGACATAGCCACTCTTGTGGATATAGTGCAGCCCTCTAAGTAAGGCCTTAGTGTATTTTTTGACTTCAAATTCCGGCAATATATGATCACCGGAATTCTTGAGCTTCTCTGATAAATCACCTCCAGAAGCATACTCCAATAAGACATTGTATATCTTTTCGCCATTTTCGTATGTATAGTTGTCGCCAAGGCAATTGATGATGTGGGGGCAACTGTTAAGCTCATCCAAGATCAGCTTCTCGTTCAACAGAGTAGCCGAGCGGGAAGCGGCAGAGGACTTGACCACCATAACCTGAGTGCTCTGCTTTCTGGGTATTGCAAAACTGACTTTGCCAAAGCTTCCATGGCCAACCGCTTCACCTCGAACCCAATCCATGGCTGTATTTTTTGCGAAAAGATTTTTGCTGAAAATTTGGTATTTTAGGCTTTCTGTTAAAGAAGGAAAGAATAGAGCAGAGGAACGCGCAATTAACCGCGAACTTTGCTTTACACAGGGGACTTCTATATATAGTGCGGGGGAACTAATATTTTTTCTTTTTTTTTTTCTCTTTCCAATTTCCTTTTGAAGTTTTTTTTGCTGAATTGAATTTAATAAACAATGTTCACACAGCTAGTAATTAGTGAGAATGCATACGTCACTGCGTGTGATTCTTCTTTTTTTTTTTGTTATTGATTTTATTAATTACTCTCTCCGGTCCAAAATAAGTGATTTTTTGGATATTTTCACACAAATTAAGAAATCCACCTTTTAGCATTAATTAGCAATGGAATTGACCATATTAACCTTTACTATCTCACATAAACACTCCTAACACATATTCCAACACCATTTACTTCAAGGACAATATAGGAAAAAAATAACTAATTCATTCTTGAAATCTGAAAAAATTACTTATTTTGGACCACAAGAAAAAGGCCAAAAAATCACTTATTTTGAACCGGAGGGAGTAATAAAAGTTCAGGTTGTGGGAGACACAATAATAAATAAAAATGGCACGTGATTGTGGTAAGATATTTCATCCTTCTTTTTACCCCTTAAATAGAGGTGGCAAAATAGTTAAAAGATAAAAAACCATATTATCCACTAAGAAAATGGTTAATCAAATAGATAGTCAATGGATAACTAATGTGTTTAACTTTTACATTTGTAAAGCTTCAAATTGGAGTTCCTCAAGTTAATACTAGTAACTCTCTCATAAGTGATCATATTTAAGAAGCCATGGATAATATGGATATCCATATTATCCGCCGGATAAACTCGTTTTTATCCGTCTCAAATACGGGTCGTATCAGATAATTTGTCCTTTTTTAAATAACCCGTTTTGACCCGCTCATATCCGACCTAACCCGCCCGTTTGCCACCCATACCCTCAAATGAAGGGTGCTACTTCCTAATTCCGCTAAAACAATGGAGATCACTTTTCGGGACGTGGTCCATTGAATCATTATGCATAGTGTTAATATATGGTGTCAAAACAATAAAGGAGTCCGGAACCTAAATATTGTATTTTTGGACTCAATATACATTAATAAGTGTAAAAAAAGAAGTTACCTTGCTATGTATAGCTTCTAAATTCAAGACGATGTACCTTAACGGTAACATTTGCCGTTAAGATATAGCGTCTTGTATTTAGACGCTATACTGCCTGACGATTTGACGTGACTGCATAGCCTTTTCATTTCACCTATAGCATCTAAAAACAAAACGCATACCCTCATTATGGACCCACCAATAATTTAACTGACATAACAGTAATTTAGATGAGTATAGCGTCTATTTAAATAACGCTATACGTCAAAAAATTTCCATATCCTGGGCTAGCCATTTCCTATATAAAGTGGTTAGGATTTTAGGAAAATTCGTTCACAAAAAATTCCAACTCCCATTCAATATTTTCTTGTTGTTAAATTCTTAAGCATTTTTTCCGTAATGTATGAAGAGCGTAGAATAAGAGTTTTATTATATTGGGGGAGTGAGGTTGTGATGGAGAATAACTCTGTGAGGTATAGTTTATTTCCACAGGGTCATGTTAAATTAACACTTACAATGGAGTACGATAAATTGATATCGTTGTTATGCAAAAAAATGGGTGTGAGGAAACGTTCAGTGATACTTAAAGTAACCAGAAGATAACCGTATTCCGTCACTCCGTATGGGCTGCTTTGTACTCGGAGTTAAACATCTACGATGATGAAACTTTGAGGGATTTTCTGAGGACTCCGGATGAATACCGGGAATATCTTGTAATCAAATTGTTGGATATGTACGTCAAGGTCGAAGACGTTCCAAACAATGAGGTTGCTGGACAGGTTCTGGATAACCCCCAGTCATTAGGTAGTTATTCTGGAGGAGTTTTTGCCGGACAGGTTCCGGATGAAAGAGTTTTCCTTGATTTAAACTTATCCTTGTCGGCCCGTAATATCCATAGACGACACTCATGTCTATGGGAAGTACGATATCAAGCTGTTGATAGCTGTGGCAGTAGATGCTAATGGACAGATATTTCCTCTAGCTTTTGTTATTTGTGCCAATGAAAGCCAAGAGACTTGGACGCTGTTTTTGAACCACTTGAAAGAGCACATTGTCAAACAGTGTTTCGGTATCTGTCTAATATCTGATCGACACGGTGGTATCTTAAGTTCTATGGAGAACTTGCCTGCATGGCAAGAACCTTATGCCTACCATCGTTACTGTGTTAGGCACTTTAAAGCCAATTTCCAGAAGGCATATCCCAACAAGGATCTGCATGATTTGATGTGGATGGCAGCAACAGACCACCAACAGCATAAACTTCGGACGCACGTGGAATATATCTGGCAAGAAGACGAGGCAGCCTATCGTTGGTTAATGCGACATGACCCTGAAAAGTGGACTTTGCATGCGGATGGTGGCAGACGATGGGGAACTCTAACTACAAATGTGTTAAAGTCTTTCCACGGGTTATTGAAGCCGGCAAGAGGATTGCCTGTCACAGCCATGGTGCGAATGTTGTTCAAGCAGATGGCGGAGAGGTTTGTTGAAAGGTCTGCAGCTGCAACGTCATTGATGGAAAGGGGTGTTGAATTTATGCCAGTGCCGATGAAGAGATTTGAGAAATATAGACGGTGAGCACATTGGCATTCATTTTTGCAGTATGATAATGAAATAAATGATTTTGAAGTTCGCACCGATATCCATGAAAATCGAGGGAATAATGTACATACTGTAAATGAATCTAGAAGGTTATGCTCTTGTGGGAAATGGTCCATCTACCACATGCCTTGATCACATGCCATCAAGTGCTTTCAACAAGTTGGTTTAGGTGCAACCGACTATGTTGATCAACAATATAGTGTTGCGAAGTACCTAAACACATATAGTGGGCAGTTACAGCCAGTGGGTGCTGAGCATTATTGGCCGCCTGAACCATTTAAAATGGTGTGTAACAAGTCCTACTTGCGTCGAATACAGGTGCAGAAGAGAACGCGTATATGAAACCAAATGGATGTTAGTGATACTGTTTATGCGCGCAGATGTGGTATATGCTCGCAAACATGACACGACCGTCGAAAATATCCTTCGACTGGTTTGGGTGGCAATAGTACTCAAGCTCGTGGTGGTCCTTCTTCTAATATGCCTAACTATCAATGAGTTTATGTTGTAATATTTAGTTGTTTTGTTTATGTTGCAAGTTTTATAAAATAAAATTATGTTTGTTAATTATGAGTTGAACTTTTCCATTTCAGTTTTTTTAATGATATTAAAAAAAATTATTTATTTGGAAGAATTGGAAAGAACATTTAAATATCATAAAGCTACATAATTTAATTTTATTATGTTTGTTATTTTATATATGTGTGTTATCTTGTCGAACTGACATAATGTTGTTTCGTACCCGTCGGAACCTTTAACACGCAATGCATAGCGCGATCAAATATTACGTTATGTGTATATGTAGCGCGGTTAAATAGTATGTTATGTGTGTTGTCTTGTCAAACTGAAAAGGCTGCCCAACTGACATAAAGTTGTTTCGTACCCATCGGAACCTTTAATACGCAACGCATAGCGCGGTCAAATACTACGTTATGTGTGTATATAGCACGGTTAAACAGTACGTTATATGTGTTGTCTTGTCGAACTAAAAAGGCTGCCCAACTGACATAAAGCTGTTTCGTACCCGTCAGAACCTTTAACACGCAACGCATAGTGCGGTGAAATACTATGTTATGTGTGTTGATATAGCGCGGTTAGATACTACGTTATGTGTGTTGTCTTGCCTATAAATAACGGGCTAATTCTAGTTATTTTATGCGCTCAGCAATAAGTAGTAGCAAATCTGTCAAGAAAAGCAAGGTTTTTTTAACGCAAAAATGGCTCAACCTCTTTATGTACCAAGATGCGAGTGTGGAAAAAATGCATGATGCAAAGATGTTGGGATAATGGTGAAGTTGGACGGCGCTACTGGCACTGTATGAACAAGTTTTATAAGGTTCTCGACGAACCTATTTGCGATTTTGAGGTATGGGTTGATGAACCCTGTTATCAGGAACACTACAAAGAATATTTGCAGCATCTTCATAATGTGTGTTTACAATAGAGGGAACGTGAAAGAGAACATAAAAGAGAGGTTGCGAAATTGAAAGCGAAACTTAAAGAGGTAGAAGAAGAAAAAAAATAAGCTGGAAGAACAATTTAAGTGGTTGGAGCAGAAAATAATGGGCGGCAGGGACTAAACATTGACATGTATGTGTTTAGTGTGTTACTTTATGTTTCCCGTGTCGTGTATTTTTATTTGTTGTACTGAATTTTAATTATATTAAGTTCCTATGTTTGTGTTTGTGTTGTAGTATTAAACTAAATTAGTTGTACTGAACTTTATTTTCATTAATTGTAATGGAAGTTAAGTTTTAGTGCTTGTGTTTGTACGAAACTAATTATATAAAAATTGTTGTTAATGTATATACAAAAATATTATTTACATCAAAACACAAAAAAAAGTGAAGAATATCAATGTGTCCCGCATCCAGTGTGCTTCAACGCAGCCGCTGGCCTGAGGCGCATCGCATCCCGCCTAGGTACGCTATCGGGATCGTCATCATCAAGTCGCCTCCTTATAGCCGGATGCGCCGCAGCATGATCATCAATGGTGCTGACAGGATCGGTAGAAGGGGCCGTCAGTCCAGTAGAAACCTACATAAGAATAGAAAGCTCAGTATAGCAAAGTATATAATAAGTCAAAACAATATAAATTATTTTACCACCATCTCGTCGGGCTCCTGAATGTTATCATCCATCGCAGTCATGCCAGCATCGCGTTCAGCCTTAAAAAGGAAATTAATAAAGTTATGGAAAATAAAGACAAATTCTAATTCAATACTAAGAAAACCATACCTGTGCCTGTGATGATGAAACATAACTTAGTCGGCGCCCACTATGTAAATCTCGTATCGGCCGCTCCTCAGCAACAGTAGACGGGCCTGGAAAGTATGTATCCCAATCCACTCTAGAAAGGTC